TAACTGGTCAAATTTGAAACTTATCATTTTAGATGGGATAGAAGTCACTATAATGGGCTCCATTTCATGTTAGTTCCATGTTGCATACTATAAAAGATTTTCAGGTGACAGACCATATGATGTTGCATTCTGATCAATCTAACTTAGGAAGTACCAAATTGAGTGAACTCCAGGTTTAAGATAGCTTACATTTTTTGTGATACTCTTTCAACATTTGGCATTTGTGTAATCCCCACAGTGTATGACAAACACACTTTGGAGGATCAAAGTTTCCACTTTTTAATACCAGGAACTGCTATTCACCACATTTTTAGACATTTCCCGTGTAATTCATGAAGTAACCTCCAAATCCCCCCCTCCCCGGCCCCACCCACCCACCCACCATGTCGGAGTTAACATAAGGTATCGTTTGCAAACCAGTATATGATTTACTGCTTTTCTATATCTGTGTATCTCCAATGTTTACGTCATTCTATATCCATTATGATTCAGGTTGAAGATATTGTGAAGTACCAGGAAGATGGCACTCCTGTTAGGAGGAGGAAGAAGAAAGTAATTATTCTGCATTCAGAAAATATAACAGCTAGAAGCTTCTGGAATGATCAGCGATCTCTTAGTAAAGATGTGGGTTTGTTTGGAGAATGCATTGAAAATATTAAACCCGAGTATATCAAGTCTTTCCAATTTGAAAGCAAACTGATGCCATCTACTTGGATTGTCATCCGAATTGATGGTTGTCACTTCCATAGGTAAAGTTCCTTGTACTTCACCTTTTAATGTTCATTGTTCCAATGGATGCAATCTTATTGAATGAATAACTGCACCCTCTGATACATTTTGATCACTTTACAATAATAAACTAAAGTAATCTTTGATTAGCATTTTCAATCATACACTTCTAAAAATTTGAGATTTCAATTGTTGAAACAAGTAGTAATTTTCATGTAGTTTACTTTTTAACTACAATTTTTTACTTTAAAAAGAAATACTAATTTTATAATTGCTGAAACTTAATTCATAGTTGGTCAAATTGACTAAATGAACGGTGCAGTGGCTAATTATTTAGTCAACAAAGTAGTATTAAACTTATCTGACTTATCTGTACATTCTTTAAAAAAATTATTTCTACTTTATTTTTCTGCTTTGAAATGTGCTAGTATTTTTGTTAGTCATTGATTGTTTATTATTTTCAAGTATGAATTTCATTTGCTTAATAAGGAGAGTGAATATTGTTCTTAGCTTTGACAAGCTTTTAAAATGATATGTAACCAATAATGGTGCCTCATAATGTGACTTTTTTGTGCAGCAACTCTGAAATAATTCAATACTTATATGTTTCATAGGTTCTGTGATGCTCATGGTTTTGACAAACCAAACGATGTGCAAGCTTTGAACCTTATGAATTCTTGCGCAGTTTCTGTGGTGGAGGAGTTTAAAGATATTGTCTTTGCATATGGGGTGAGTGATGAATACAGGTAATAGCTTCCTCAGAATATTTTATTTGCTTGTGTGTTACTTCTTTTTCTCTATAATAGATTCTGGTTCACTTTTTTTTCTTCTTCAGCTTTGTTCTGAAGAAAGACTCTTTGCTCTATGAAAGGCATGCCAGGTAACTCTTTCATCATCCTACCTATAGTCTTAAATTGTATACTCCTTGCATAGTGTAGATATATGTTGAGATGTAGTTTGATGAATTGTATAAGTAACCGTAATGTAGAGCATATTGGAAGGGGTAAATGACTTGGCCTGGTAGAATGGACTATAGAGGTTGTTCAAGTGCAGTTTCCATTGTTCAGAACTATTTAAATTGAAGTTGGTAAAGCCAATCGCATATTCAGATTAACTTTTGTGATGATGCTGGACATTACAGGGTAGTACCTGATGGTGAAACAGGGGTTTAAATTAAGACTTAGCAAGTTCACAACAAGTCAAGATTGTAGAAGGATTCTATATTACTTTCCTACAATAGTTAGGGATATTTTTGGTGTTTTCCTTTTATATTTAGTACTCCGTAAATCCCGTAATTAGTATCCTTAATTACACTAGACGACTAGATTATTTTGAATCCTACTTTATTTGTGATTCATTTTGTGGAATTAGTTTCTTAGGCTAGTTAGTTTTGTAGTTAGATGAAGAATACTGTATGCTTATAAATGCCGCTATAACTGTTGGCAATAGGGCATTGATTGAAATACAGGAATTTTAGAAATCTTCTAAGCAAGTAAATTGTGTTTCTTTCTATATTCTTCTCCTGCTTCTAGCAAGAATTAGATCCTAGTGCTTTTGAGTGTTTCTTTGTCTTGGAGAACTACACCTTTGTTCTTTCTGCTTGCATTAGATGGCTAACTGGCTTTTGGTAACTTAGACTTCTACAGGATGTTTCTTTATGTAAGACAGTTATTGATTGTTAACATTGGAGTCAACCTAGTAGTACATGATCAAACTTCAATCAATAGCACAAACCATCATAATATGTATAGTCCTATTCTCTTTCCTTCTTTCAACTCTGTTTGCATCTGGTGATTTTTGCTTTGAGGTCATAATTTAACAAATCAAGTTTTCTTATGTGAGATTTAATATATTTAACCAATTTCAGCAGTACACTAGGACCTTTTTGATTGTCAAATGCTAAAACTAGCTACTTTGATCTTGTGTGCAGTGAAATAGTCTCTGCCATTGTCTCTCTCTTCTCGTCCATATATATGACGAAGTGGAAGGAGTTTTTCCCCAAAAAAGACTTGAAGTACCCACCATACTTTGATGGACGGTGTATTTGCTATCCTTCCTCTATGATTCTCCAAGATTATTTGGCTTGGAGACAAGTTGACTGTGAGTACTTTTTTAATTATACGTTTCATTTAAAAAAATTATAACAAATTTATTAACTGCAATTCTAGTGGTCTAGTCTGAGAATATCAAGTATAATAAAGTATTATGTCCCTTTCTCTTGATCATATGTTCAGAACATGCAGGTCACATTAATAATCAGTACAATACTTGTTTCTGGATGCTTGTAAAATCTGGCAAGAGCAAAACTGAGTCCCAAAACTGCCTTAAGGTGCAATACTTCTTTTCAGAATATCTTTTGGGGATGGCCTTTCTTAAGTTGAAGCGGCAGTGGGCAATCCATTATGCACGATTATCAGAACAAATTAATATCTTTTGCATATTTCTCCAGCAAATGTTTGTTCATTTGTACTTTAAAAATAGTATTTTTTTTTTTAAAAAAAAGAGATATTCTAATAATCAGTCCAAGAATCCCTAAGATGCATCACATATTCAAGAGAGTAAAACCTTATGGGAAAAATAAGATCTATATATCTGAAAGCCGTACAAAAAGCTTACATACTTTTATGAGGTGTCCAACAGTCGTCTGTTTTAGCGAAATTGACCATCACTAGTACCTACCAAATGAACAATCATCATATTACTCTCTGCTGAATATCTTTGTTTTGCAGGGTACTCAAACTCGAGAAAAAAATGAAATGCTTTCCAAATTTGGGATTGATTACCACAATTTGCCAGCCATTTTCCGTCATGGATCCTCTGTTTTCTGGGACAAGGTAGTTCTTCTTTCCAATCTGGCATCGATTGCCACAATTAACTAGCCTTAACTCCTTAAACTTTAGATGCTAGTGATCTTCACTTCACTTCATTTTGTTTTATGATGTTGATCAATACTAGCATGAAAGTTTATTTCATTTGCAATGAACATTTTCGTTAAACACACGAGCATTCATTCATCGTAATGCATTTTGTTTGGAGACTCCTAAAAAACATTAGGTGGGTTCTGGTGCCACGTTTGCTTGCTTATGTTTTTCTTATTCGTTTGCATTCCCCATATATATTTCTACAATGGGGATACTTAAATATACTTGGGCTTATGCTGTGAGTTGTCCAGGAGGAAACAAAATCAGAGTGCGGTACCGAAGGGGCAGTAGAGAAATACCGCAAGAAAGTTGTGGTTGAGCACTGTAATATAATCGATACAAGCTTTTGGAAAGCACATCCAACAATACTTGAAGATGAGGATAACCAATGCTGCCAAGCACTAGGTACCTCAACTTGTAGCTAATGCAACTTTTGATACTTGTGTGCAGTACATTAACATTTTTATGATATATATCTTGATTCTTTTACCTTTTCAAAAACATTTTTGTTGTCTTGTGTGTGTATTTTCTTTAAAAGGAAGCATTGGTGTGGTGAAATTTGAATTTAACTGGATTAACATCTCATTGTGTATTTTTTTTTTTTTTTTTTTTTTAAAAAAAAAAAACATTTTTCAGAACATTTATTTAGGGAATTTTACATTTCCATAGGATTAAATCATTAATGTCAGTTTACATAAAGTAATGCAGATTAAATTGAGTTCTGGTGAGAATATAGAACCAACAAAAGAAGAGAAAAAAAAAAAACGAGCACTCTATCAAGTATTGAAATTTAATTTAATAATGATGAAAAAGATTGCACCAGCCGGGAATCGAACCCGGGTCTGTACCGTGGCAGGGTACTATTCTACCACTAGACCACTGGTGCTTGGTTGTCTTGGAGGCGGCTATCTCACTATGTGTTTCTTTGTCAGTCACTAAAGCCTAACATGATGCTAAGAGGGAGTGGATGGTCATTTTGTTTAAGTCTAGGGCTTCTGAATCTTATATCTCTCATCTCTAACTTATATCAATAAGCCCGTCTAGCTCAGTTGGTAGAGCGCAAGGCTCTTAACCTTGTGGTCGTGGGTTCGAGCCCCACGGTGGGCGTTAGTTTTTACCTATTTTGACCCCTTCTTGTTACTGTATTAGCTATTTAGGTGTGACCATCTTCCCATTCCTGAGCGCCCAGCTCCATGGAAACAATTATTTCTGTCATTGTTCTTATGGATAAAAAAAAAACCTACATCTTATAAAAATTATCACATAAATATATATATATATATATATATATATATATATATATATATATATATATATATATCTCCAGGTAGAAGGATAAGATAATGAGAGCCACACAAAAATATCCAATTGATCTATTAGACCTATCTTCAAATGAATTAAGTGTAGAGTTTTTGAGTAAATATATGAAACGAATTGAAAATGAACTCATATGGCCTGCTACCTTCTTTTTCATCACCTTCCTACAAATACAATTTCAATAACCCTAAATATCTTACCACCATTATCCATCCCAAAAGGTTTACAGCCTCGCCCAATCTCAGCAGAAACATTTCTGGAGGTAAAATCAGGGCTTCTGGCAGTACTGTTACACCAGATGAAGCAGAAGAAGAAGAAGCAATGGTGAAAATTGCATTCGTCCATGTGAGTTGATGTAGTGTATGCAATGTGGAATTATTCATTATATTCTTCAATGTACTTAATTGTGATGAATAAATTAAAAGAAATTGTGGGTTTTATTTAATGTGGTCAGTCGGTATTGTTTCCGGATGGGAGCCCAGACGTGCATTATCGCAAAGCTAAGGGAGGCCAAAAGCTGAGAGACATAATGCTGGATGGTAATGTAGAGTTGTATGGACCATATGTAAGCACCAACCTCAACTAACATTCTTAGCTTGCTTTAATCTCACTTGCTGTTTCTTTTTCTATTTATAATAATTATTTAATTGTTTAGTCAAATTAAATGATATATCTATATCTAAATCTTCAGTCCAGAGCTCTGTGTAACTGCGGCGGATTAGGGACCTGTGGCACATGCATGGTTGAGGTCAGATTTCATTTTCTCATTACCTTTCTATTTTAGTGTTCATTCATTCATTATGCTTATTAATTATTTTCATTTACTGCTTTAATTTCTTATTATTATTAGGAAAAATACAAGTCTTGATCTCTTAAATTCGATTGTCATCAATTTAGTCTCTCAGTTATATGGGTTATTAATTGCCACATTTATTCCGATAGGTTCTTAATGTGACTGAAATGTTAATTTTGATTGTTAAATATTCAAAATTCTAACTTTTTAAGTTTTGTGTGTGTGAATTTTAAGTGTTACTTTTTTTTGTAATAAAATCAAAATTTCAACTTAGAGAGAGAGAGCATAGACTAGTGAATAATTAGAGAAGAATGTTGCTAAATTTACAACAACAAAAAAAATGAAAATTTAGAGATTTTGAGTATTTAATAGTGAAAAGTAACATGTTTTTTGGGTCTCAAAGACTAATTCAGTAATTCTGCTACAACTTTGATAACATAAGGACTAAATGCAATAATATATATAATTAAGGAACTAAATTTAGTATTTTTTTTTTAAAATAATTAGAGAATTAAAATTGTCATTTTCCATTATTATTTTTATTAATTAGGGGTTTTGGTATTGTTAGGTAGTGGAAGGAAAGGAGCTACTGAGTCCCCGGACAGAAAAGGAGAATGAAAAATTGAAACGGGTATATGCTTCTATAATACTCATCAATTAATATAACCATTTTGAGAGAAGGAAAAATAAAAAAGTGTAGAAAGTAAAAGTCCATACTAATTTTGGGATTATATCAATGCATATATCCAGAAACCCAGGAACTGGAGACTAGCCTGCCAAACCACAGTTGGAACACCCAATTCCAAAGGCACGGTATGTATATATGCGGCTAATAGACAATTTTTTTTTTTTTTTTTTTTTTTTTTAAATGTCTGCAACTGCTTAGCTCACTAATTCAGTAGACAGTATTTGAGAATCGAGATCAAAATTCGAATCTCGACTAATGTGAAAATTATGTCCAAAGTGGACAGGTCCATTGTGCGAACCGGTATTTGGTCGCACCAGTAAGACAAGCCGGGGTGTGACCCTTGAGTCATATTATTCCAAATGTTTTGTTGGACGGGGTGTGGGGGCCCCTTGAGGTTGGGGATTCAACCTTTTAGAGAAGAGAACTTTTTTGATTAATAAACACTGAATTGTATCGTTTGTGTACAGCTTGTGATTCAGCAACTACCTGAATGGAAAGGGCATGAGTGGAATTATAAAGAATTGAAATCATCAGGAGGAGCATGGGCAGAATTGGAAGCATCCACTTCAACACCAATATAATATATCTTAAATACTACTCCCTACTAATTAATTAATTAATTAATTACTCCTGCTTTTTAGTCCCAAAAAAGTTCTAATGATTGCATGCTACAATGAAAATAGAGTAATGTCCTTCACGTCCTGTTTCAATCTATTCATTTTATAAATAATTATTTTCATCTTTATAAGTGCTATTTGATTTCAGTCTTACTAAACTAAGTGTATAAAAAAAGTCTAAGCGTCATGTATTATTCGAGGTCGAGCCACTAGTCAAAATACATCTAGCCTAACAAAAAAAACATAGAATTATGCTAACAATTTAATAGATAGTACTTTGCAATAAATGTTGTAAATCAAAGCTAGGGCCAAAGTCAACCTGTTGTAGGTGATGTATTAAGCAATGGTAATGCTAAAATTATTACAAGTAAGGATTTATTAGAATTTTTTATTGGTCCCAACAGGGCAAAGATGGAATCTGAAACATAACAACTCATACATGGTCCCATTAATCATTGTACATGCATACCTTATGGGGATGGATGATCATCCACTATTTTATTTTTCTATTTTCTTCCCCTGAAATTGGATGCATAATCTGCACACTGCACATGGGTGGTTTGAATAGTAAAGCTATTATTTTGTCATATCCCAACTCCACTAAATCTCAACCTTTCTACTCCTTCAAATAATTCACATATAAATCATGTCATATTCTCAATTTTAGACTAAACTTCTTGTAGCTCAATGATAGAGTTAATACCCAAAATCGTCCTTGACTATAATGGTTTTTCTCAATTTCGTCCTAAACGACTTTAGTGACCTAATATCGTCCCAGACTTTTGTGTTTCACTCAATTTAGTCCCAGACTTTTGTGTTTTTACTCAATTTAGTCCCTCATTTGTTATTGTGTCCATTTGGTGTTAAATAAATAGACAATTCAGTAATTTTAATATTGACATCTCTTTACTCATAGACATGTGAACTGTAGAATCCCTTTTTTTTTACGAATTACTCCCAGAATTACTCCTAAAACTGCGAATATAAAATTTGATTTGCAGGTCCGGGAGTAATTCTGAGTGTAATTCGTACAAGAAAGAGGAATTTCGCACTTCACAAGTTGAAAGTAAAGAGAGATCAATATTGACATTACTGAATTGTCCCTTTATTTAACACTAATTTGACGGAATAACAAATGGAGAACTAAATTGAGCGAAACACAAAAGTCTGGGACGATATTAGGTCACCATAGTCGTTTAGGACGAAATTGAGAAAAATCACTATAGTCGAGGACGATTTTAGGTATTAACTCCTCAATGATATTTATGTGACTCTTTCAAGTAACTTGTAGCTGATCGAAAAAATTATTTTGAGCAATTTTTTAAATTTTAGCATTTTGAAGCAATAAACTGATACAAAAAAAAACTAATTAATCAAACAACTAATAATGATCAAATAAGTCAAAATTAGTTAATAAACTAACTATGTTATTAAACAGAATTTATAATATATGGTCTTGAATTATTGAAGATTTAATGAAGAAAAAAAAAAAAAAACATAGTGCAATCATCATTTTTAGACTTTTAGCAAGCCACATTCCAACAAAGAAGGATTTACAGCTGCAAATTAAACCAAAAGCTAGCAGAAAGAAAGCAAAAAGAAAGAAAGAGCAAAATGTTGCTTTTCTTCCTCTCATAATTATTATACAAGAAAATCAAGGGAAATGAGATTTGAACAACAACATCATCTTCTTCTTCTTCTTCAATTCTTCATCATCAAAGTTGAAATCAATCAGATCAGAAGTCGCTGGAGAGAGGGGCGTGCTCGTGGGCCATGAACACATTGGGGTAGATGAGGCCGGCCAATCCACCGCCGACGAGGGGCCCCACCCAGTAGATCCAGATGGAGCTGAAGTCGCCGCTCACCACCGCGGGCCCGAAGGATCTGGCCGGGTTCATTGACCCACCGGAGAATGGACCGGCTGCCAGGATGTTTGCTCCGACGATGAATCCGATGGCGATGGGTGCAATTGTGCCCAGTGAACCCTTCTTGGGGTCAGCTGCGGTGGCGTACACGGTGTACACCAAACCAAATGTGATGATTATTTCCATCACAACTCCTCCCACGGCTCCCACTCCGGCCGCCACGCTGTGGGTCGGGACAGCCTACATATATACGTCCGGTTTCATCAAATTCAAGTTAAATAAAATGCAGAACTATATATACATATATATATGTTTGACTTACCAAGCCGCCGGTAACAACTGTGAGGAGGTAGCAAGCAAGAATGGAGCCCAAGAGTTGAGCAATCCAGTAGAAGAGGCCGGTGAGGATGGTGATTTGGCCGCCGACAGCCAGTCCAAAGGTGACGGCAGGGTTAACGTGACCGCCGGAGATGTTGGCTCCGACGGAAACAGCCACGAAGAGAGCGAATGCATGGCAAACCGCAATGGCTACCAGGCCTGGTGCGTCAAGAGCCGCATCCGACGTCAACTTGTCTGCATCCATAACAAAAATCTTCCATTAATTCTCTAAATTAAACCATGCATGAACAATAAACAGAAAAATGTATGTGCAATCCAGCAACCTGGTCAGATACTTGACTTGATAACTAAAATATTATAAGTTCAATTCCAACATATATAAACAGTCTATTAATTTTCTTGATTTGAGTTAACGACAACATAAGCTGATTTAATTTGTCTCTTTTAGTGTCATAAGACAGAATTTACTCAATCCGTACCCTCATGTACTGAATGTGGGTTAGTTTTACTCGTGACCCAAAAAAGAAAAAAAAAAAGAAAAATGTGTGATGCATGCAAAAAGAGGGTCGGAGGCTTAAAGGTATGGAAAATAACTGAAAGCAATGGCGGAGCCGACGCCGGCGAAGACGAAGAGCAAGGTGGAGATGAATTCAGCGATATAGGCCTTGATAGAGGCGAAGCTGAAAGAATCATCGAACCGTCCAAAAGCTATGCCAGGCATATTGATCAAAAAATGAGGCTAATGCTACAGAAAAGAGTAAAGAAAGAGCTAATAAGCTAGGATAGGTATGTAGAAGTGAATATGGTGTTGGAGGGTTGAAGAAGATGGGCTTTCTCTATCACATATAAATACTGGGGATGTGGAAATATTATCGAATTAAAAGATTATATTATATGTGTAGATAAGGAGGAATGAATAGGTGACAATACATCCAGGGACATCCAATCAAAATTTAGAAATTTTTGTTGCAAATCCTAGCTGTCAATAACATGTATGATGGATGTTCCTTTTGTGGAAGTGTCTGGACTCTCTATACATGTGAACTTATCATGCTTTTCCCTCCCAAAAGGTTAAGGTTTTTTTAGAAATTTTTGAAAAGAACAAAATGACTCTTAAAAATTATTGTATAAAATTTATAGTGGTTGGTATTAACGAAAAATATTTATTTTGATCAAATGGAAAATGATTTATTTTAGCTGAGAAATTATCTTTCAAAATTTTTACTTGCTGATATGTATTGTTCATATTCTTATCTCAGCTCATTTCTCATTCTCTTATCTTTGAGTGACGTCAAATGTGATGGTTGACATATCATTTATCTGGTTATTATTTAAATTAGATTGAGCTAATTTGATTAAAATATAAGTATAATCTACCCTCGGTTAAAGAAAATTATGTTTATATTATTAATAAGAAAAATGAAGTGATAATTAGTACATAATAATACTCCGTATATCTTAATTATACATATTTTGGTTAGCTCAAAACTTTAGCCAGCCCATTGTTTCTTAAGGTTCTCCAAATGCATGTTATACTCATAATATTATAATAAAACAAATTCACTCTTTAAGCATAAATATATCGTAACTAGTTGAACTCAAAATAATATAAACATACTTTTCTCATATAGTTTTTATTTATTTTAAACATAAAACATACTTTAACATAGGCTGGCAGACTTGAATTTGGGTGTGAATTGGTCACGGGGGTGGATGAGGAAGAAGTCTCAAGAAGAATCAAAAAAAATTATTTTAATTTTTAAAAGATTTTATAACTCAACCATGTAAATTTATTTTAATTTTAAAAAGATATTTTATAAAATTATATAAAACCCAAAAAAATAAAAAATTTCATCACATCAATCCTAGTCTCCGATTGGATGTCAACTCATCAAGTAACATACTAAAAGTGTTAATTGATTTTTTAAAAGCTTAAATACTCATGTAAAATTAAACTTCCTTAAAATTCATGAAGAAATTAAATATTTCTAAATAATTTTTTTTAAAAAAAAAATTCTCTTACATTTAACAATGATAGTGTACAAGACAATTGACAATCCTTCACAAGCCTTTTAGTTGCAACTAGTTGCAAGTAGAGAATTAAGGAAGAAATTAATTGTAATTTTATGAGAATAAAATATGAATTCAAATTTTATTGTTTGAAATTTCAATTATAATATTTGATATATATAAAAATTGAAAGAGAATATAAGTAATATAAAGATCAAAATACATATTTGTGTGATTGCAATTCATAGGAAAATATATAAAGACTATTTGGGAAGATAATTTGGTTCTTCTACTCAACCTTTATTCGCATGTATTATGAAATTCCAAGTCTTAGGAGAATGTGAGATTTATAGCATCTCCAAGGGAGCTGCCAAAAGTAAAAATTGAACACCATCTCACTATTTTTTTGAGCTCCAATGTAGGGCAGCAAATCGGCAAAAGGCCAAATATTTTGGGGTTGATGAACAATTCATCTACACAAATTAGGGATGGGAAACAAATGTACCATTTTGCCCTCTTTTTTCTTTTAATAATTCCAAATTTATCCTTTATTTGTTTATATAGAATTTTATTATTTTGTTAAATACTTATATTTAAAGTTTGTATTATTAAATATAAATTATATTATTTTAAAGATCTCATTGCAACGATCGAAACAAAACTAATATTGAATATATATTAATTAAAATTTCAAATACATCAAACATAACTAGATATAATAAAAATTAAAATACATACGACTTAACATTAATATTAGAAAATACAACATAATTTTAAAAATAAAATAAAATAAATAATTTCATCCGATAATTAAATGTACTAGATGTTTTATACTATATTATTATTGTTGAATAAACTAAAATTTCAAAAATATTATTCAATTCAATTTTTAAAAATAATTAATGTTATAAAAA